GGGGTTGAGGGTTTTAGGGGTTTCAGGGTTTCATGTGTAGAGTTTAGGGATTAGGGGTTTAGGGTTTAGGGGGTTTGGTGTTTGCGGCCATTGGGGTTTAGGCTTAGAGCTTCATGCTTCCGGGCTTGCTGGATGCAAGAGGGCTTGCGATTTTTTCGGTTTTTGCCGAAATCCTAAACCGTTAAGCCGCAGCCTACAGCCCTTGGAGTATAAATTATAGACTCATCGACCTCTTCTTGTAGTTTTTGGAGCCCTTTTCGGAGTCCTTTGACAGGAACCCTAAACCCTAAACCCTAAACCCTGTTTTTGGAGCCCTTTTTAGAGCCCTTCCACGGAACCCCTTGCTCTAGGCATCGAGGTTTAACCGGGGCAAGGAGCGGCTTCGGTGCCAATTTCCAGCACCTGAGTTTCCGAAAATAAGGGCTACCTTATTTCGGGGTCCTTATCATAGGAAAAACCTCAAACCCTACAAATCCCAAAGCCTAAACCCCAAAACCTGCACCGCAGTCTGACTTCGTGCCGGAAAGAGCCCTTATAAGGCAACTCTGAACCACCAAAACCCTAAACCCTGAACCCCTAAGCCCCTAAATCCTATGCACCCTCGGCCGAGGTCCGGGTCTACGAGGCTGCACTGCCACTCTGCCAATATAGGGGCCTTAAAAATATTAGAATAGGGTTTGGCGTCTATTATACCATCATTATCAGAAGGAACCCCCAAGCGCCATTTAATTATTCAGGCCCCTACACTTTAGAACCCCTACAGTAGCCTTTGCAGTATCCCTAACCCTTTAAAGGAACCCTATTCTAATTATTCAGGCCCCTACACTAATTAATTATTCAGTGAGCCCATCACCGCTTCCGGGCCTACATGGTTTGGGATTTGGGGTTTAGAGTGTGCTTAGGGTTCAGGGTTTATAGGGCTTATAGGGTTTATAGTCTAGGTTTCAAGGTTTGGAGGGTTTAGGGTTTACGTCAGGATCTTTGAGTGATACCAGGCTGTAGCATTACCGTGCAAGGCGGTTGAAACATAAGGAACCGGTT